AGGGGAGGGGGGGAGGCAGGGGAGGGGGGAGCCGGGAATTTTGCCCGCGGAGGGGTGTCTGGGAGTGGAGTCAGCTGCCGTGGAAAATTCCAGGGAGATGGCGAGGCCGGGAATGGGAGCCCTGCGCCCCCCAGGCCCGGCCTGGGACCGGGGCGCCCCGGGGAGGGACCCCGGCCGCTGGGGGGGGCTCCCCGTCCTCCAGCCCTCCCATGGCACCTCCTCCTCTAGTGGGAAGGGAAAAACCTGTGATTCCCGGAAATGGGGTGACCCAAGCGAGGGCTGAGCCCCCCAGAAACTCTGACTTGTGGCCACACAACCTAAAATGGACTGAGCGTGGGAAGAACTGAGTGCTAGTTATTTCCAGAATCTCATTCTCCCTCTCTCACTGGTAGGTGATGGGCCTCGAACTCGGGGCCTGGGCGCTGTCCCTGAGCTCATTTGTTCCAGGTGGGCGCTCTACCACTTGAGCCACAGCACCACTTCTGGTTTTCTGGTGGTTTATTGGAGATCAGAGTCTCACGGCCTTCCCTGCCCAGGCTGGCTTTGAACTTCCAATCTCAGATCTCAGCCTCCTGAGTAGCTGGGGCGACTGGCTTCCCCATTAAAAGAAAGAAAGAAAGAAAAATCTTTTAACTCCGGCCTGGCCTGCACTAGGGGCTCGTGCTTGTAACAATCCCAGCTACTCAGAAGGCTGAGCCCTGAGGATGGAGGGCTAAAGCCAAGCCCAGCAGGCATGTCTGTGAGATGTGTATTTCCAAAGAACCACTAAAAAGCTGGAGGTGGAGGTGTGGTTCAAGTGGTAGAGCACCAGCACACATACACAGAAAAACTTCACTAAAACATGTAAAGTGTTCTTTTTCTTCTCTATACGAAACTTAAATCTTCTACTTCAACAAACTGATTTCCTACTTGCTGTGAGGAACTAAGTTGTGAGATAAAGATTTAAAGCTGAAAGATAAAATTTCCTGGTACCTGCCTTTCAGGAGACAGACGGAACTGGGTACTGTGCCTCACTTCTATAATCTCAGCTACTCAGGAGGCTGAGATCTGAGGATCATGGTTCAAAGCCAGCCTGGGCAGGAAAATCTATTGAGACTTTTATCTCCAAGGAACCATCTGAAAACTAGAAGTGGGGCTGTGGCTCAAGTGGTAGAGCACCAGCCTTGTGTACACCAAAGCTTAGGGACAGCACCCAGGCCCTGAGTTCCAGCCCCAGGACAGAGAGAGAGAGAGAGCTGGAAACCTCCAGATAAATAAAGTGCAATCTGTTAAGAAATGGATCTGATAACACATTTAGAAGTCATGGATCTTTTTGTTGATTGGTTGAGTGTGTGCGTGTGTGCATGCGTGCCAGGGCCTGAACTCGGGGCTCTGTTCTTGCTTACTTTTTCCACTTAAGGCTGGTACTCTGACCACTTCCACTGTTTCCTGCTGGTTAATTGGAGATAAGAACCTTACAGACTTTTTTTTTTCTTTTCCCTTGGCTGGCTATCAACCTCAATCTTCAAGAGCTCTCACCTTCCTGAGTAGCTAAGATTACAGGCTGGAGCTGGAGGGTTTGGAAAGGTTGACTGGGTTTGTTTTCCTTTTGTTTTTTAATTGATCCTGGGGCTTGAACTCAGGGCCTGAACTATGTCTCTGAGCTGTTCTACTCAAGGCTAGTGCTCCACCACTTCCAGCCACAGCTCCTCCCACTTCTGGCTGTTTTGGTGGTTTATTGGAGATCAGAGTCCCACGGACTTTCCTGCCCGGGCTGGCTTTGAACCATGATCCTCAGATCTCAGCCTCCTGAGTAGCTAGGATGGCAGGTGGGAGCCACCAGCCCCCCAACCCTGCAAAGATAGCTTTTGGGTCACAGGTCAAACTGTTTTCCTTTGGGGGCAAAGAGAGAAAGCAGTTAGTTACACAGAATGCCAGAGAAACGTGAACGGTTTTTATAAAGGCTTTTCCCCAGAAATCTCAATGGGGAAAAAGAAAAACAACCATTTTTTTTATAACCTTTCAGTGCTTTTCTCTGTACCTCGCTAGTCTACAAGCAAATCGATCCAAAGAAATCGGAGTCATTGTGACCCCCCCCAAAATCTCCAGGCCAATTCCCCTCTCCAGCGGCTCCCCCCCGCCCCCCCCAGAACAGGTCTTGGTTTCTCTTTACAGTGTACCCACAGACAGAGGAGAGAGCCAGAAAGGGCCGGAGCTTGGAGTCTAGTTCAAAGTTCACCCCAACTTTTGTCTGCAAATCTTCTGACTCCCCAAAGCGGGGCGGGGAGGGGGGGGGCTTCCTCTCCCAGGGAGCCAGATTTTATGCAAGACCTTCTCTATGTCAAAGTGTCAGCCTCTGGCCTTGGACCTGGGCCTGCTGGACCAGGTTGTGAGCTCTGCCCTTGGGTGATTCGGGCTTGTTACCCTGTGTGTGTGTGTGTGAACCCGGGGATTTCTGCTCCCCCTCTCATTGTCCCCCCCATGGGTGCTGATCCATGAGCCACATCTCCACTTCTGGCTTTCTCCCCCCCCCCCATCCATGGAAGATAAGAGTCTCCTGGGACTTTTCCTGTCCATGCTGGCCTCGAACCGGGATCCTCCGGAGTTCAGCCTCCCTGGGGTATTTTAGGAGGCCGAGCGGTCAGAGCCCCCGGCCGGCCGCTCTAGAAGCTTCCTGGCCTCACCCATCCGACCGGAAGCGAGGGCGATCGGGGCCGGGCCGGGGGCTCTGCGAGGACACAAGGTGAAGAATAAAAAGCCTCGCAGGGCCCCGGATGGAGTCGGTGGCGGAGCGCGTGCTCGGCCTGGCCGAGCCCCGGTTCTACCCCCGAAACCAAACAAAAGGCCGGGAGGGAGCGGCCAGCCGCCGCACCCTGGGCGCTTTCGGCGCTGCCGCCCAG